GCCAGTAGGGCTGGAGCAATAATTTTGTTTTTCTCTTGCCGAGGGGGGCAGAGATGTCCATAAATATAAGTAAAAATCTAGGTCATCCAATCAATATAATTATATCTTTTTCCAGGCTCTAAAAGAAATTTTTGTTGAAGCTACTATATTGATGGTCAAAAACTGGAGTTTGTAAAGCTTAAAACTCTCCCATCACCTTAACACCTGAAAGAGTAGGAGGGGAAGTATGTATCTCTGCGTCCTGCTATCATTCATCCTTTTTTGTTTTTTTTTTTCATTATTGTATATGATTCAAAAAGCTGTCTTTGGTAGACGTATAACTGAGACTATCCAGCTATAAGTGGGTGGAGAGCTAATGTTCTAACTGAAATTGGTTTCTAGTAAAGCAATGAAATACAAGGTCCCAAAAAAAGAGAGCTTCATACCACATAGATCTGATTGTTTAAAAACATGTAAAGAAAACGTAGTGCCAGAAAAGAAAACATGTGCGTGAAAAACTGTAATTTGAGGGTGGACGCCTAAGCCTTCTAAGGCAAGGAGAAACATGGGATTTGGATGAAGGAAGAAAGTATCTTTGCTTAGAATTAGGAAAATTCAAAGAAACTAATAATTGTGCCTGTATTTTTGTTTTCTTTTCTCATTATTCTAATGTCTGCTTCCTCTTTTTCCTTTTCCTCCTCTCCTTGTTCATCTTTATCCTTGGTGGTCTTGTGCATCAGTATGTCCTTAAAGTGGGAGAGGGAGCTGTAGCACAATGCATTAGTGGATTTACCGCTTTGGATGTGCCCCCACCTCGTGGACCTCTCTGGTACTTTTTTTTTTCTCCCATCATCATTCGTTATAAGCCATCTATAAAGGGTAAACCCGTTGATTGTTGGTCTTTTAGTCTTGCTTGCCAGTGACATGGAGAGAGTAAGATACGACAGATTCTTATAAAGCTCAAATTCTTAACGATTGTGCTTTGTTCGATACAGGATTTTGGGAGATGTTTTCATGGGTCGCTATCACACGGTATTCGACTATGGGAACATGGCAGTTGGGTTTGCTGAAGCAGCTTAAATGCTTATATTCTAGTATACATATGACTTATCCATCTGCAATGACAGTTTGTAATATAGGTACGTTATGTTATCATTAAGATAGAACTTAATCCTAAGAAGACCTTTGCTTTGAACTTGTATTGTAAATAGAATGCTTCATGAGTATCGGTTGGCTTGTAGACATTAAACACATACTTTAATTAAATAGTTTATCATTTCCTAATGTTTTACCAAAATGTCAAGCCTTAAGGTGGTTTCGTGGCCCTTTGGGCATTTGCAAACAAAAACTGCAGCACCTCCAATTCTCAGCTAACCCTCATGATCCTGCATGGCAAAGATATCTCAATGATTAGAACGTGGAATAGATTCCTAGTTTTAGTTAAATCATCTATCTAATTTTGTTCATTAAATTCTGGTCTTCAGATATTATGGCTGTCACAAATGGACGTAAAAACGATAGAAATTAGGAACTGCAAGAAAAAAAAATTTCCCCAAGAAGATTTAAAATGGTTTAACAGCAGTTTCTTGGACTAACTTGATTGAATCTCTTCAATCTTTATTTCAGATTTCACATTAAACACTGTCCTCTTCCATCTATTTAAGATTATTTCTCAAACACAATTAGAATGTTTTTTTAACGCAATATTTTGATAGAATTTAATTTCTAAATTCATACTTTGACCTGTCAGGATCAATAATTAACATCAATATAATTGACCACAACCTCATGTCAATAACTTTAAAAAAAAAAAGCTTGGTGGTATTAACAATTGGATAGATATTAGCAAATTTTGAAAACAAAAAAATTTGATTTATACGAATTATAATAAAGGATTTCAATTTAAATTTTAATAAAATACAAGGACTAAATTCAAAATTTGGGCAAAAATCTCGAGTTGGATGGACCAACTCAGCAACTGATACCATAATTAGCATGGATCCTAACGTCATCATATTGAAAAATTGATAAGTTGCTATTAGATTGTGACCGACCGAACAAAATGGACAAATAATAATTTCTTCTACATTCATCTCAAGTTATTATCAAAATACATATTGAGATTCTTAATTTTACATGACTGCCAAGTTTTCAAATTGTCCCCATGCTTTGATAGACATCAGATTTCTAAACAAAAAAGTCAGCATATAGATATAGCCAGGACAATGATGTTTTTCCCCTCGAGTTAATTTATCATCCATTATGGATTGCAAAATTGTTCCCATTGCTATTATTAAACATTAACAAGTGTAATAATTTCCGCAAGTTCGGCTTAAATCTCTCTCCATTGTTAGTTTTCTTTTCCAATTTTTTTCTTCTTCTGCTTCTATCTTTTGTGTCTTGGTACGTGTTTTTTCTTTGACCGGTGTTTGGTTTTCCCTGTCACCCTTCCAAAGATGGAGAGGTCCGTCTCCCTCGTTTTCCTTTCATTGTTCTTGTTCTTCAATCATAGTTTCTTCTTTCAGGGTCATGCTTCAGGAGCTATTACTCCTCCAAATGAAAAGGTTCGGTTTAAGCTGATCCACAGGCATTCACCTGAGCTTGGAGAAGACCATGGAACGACCCTTGGTCCCCCAAGCAGTACAAGGGAGCGCATAAAACAGCTCGTCCACAGCGACAATGCTCGGCTACGTACAATCTCGCAAAGGCTAGGCCCAAGAAGGATGACTTTTGAGGTGAAGATGATGGGAAGCAACAATCTGATAGAGCTCCCAATGCGATCGGCCGCCGATATAGGGACAGGGCAATACTTTGTTTCGTTCAGGGTAGGAAGCCCTCCAAAGAAGTTTATTATGATTGCGGATACAGGGAGCAGTCTTACCTGGATGAGATGCAGTTACAAGTGCAAGAATTTTTCCATGGACAGGACCAAACTTCATGAGAGGATATTTTACGCTAATCAGTCACGTACCTTTAAGCCAATTCCATGCTCCTCTAACGTTTGCAAGGTTGAACTCTCACAATCTTTCTCCTTGGCCCATTGTCCTACGCCAATGGCTCCCTGTGCCTATGATTACAGGTAGATCTTCGATATCACCTTTAATTCTTTTTTATCTGCTACTAACCCCTGCATAACCCTTTGAAAATGCTGCCAAGTAATTGTTGTTCCCTTTGCATTCCTTTCTTAATTTCCTTTTTTCAACCCGTAGGTGTACTGGTTCTATAAGGTATGATTAAGATGGAATTAACTAAGCTAAAAGAAAAAAATACTATCTAGATAGGATCATATGATGCATGCGATTTGATGAATAATGAAAGTAAAATGCGATTTTTATTTTATGTCTCATTTGGTGTAATGATTAATAATATGATTGATGTAAGATAGAATGATTTTCTCAATACATATTGGCATGAAATTACCTATCTGTATACTATAAAAATTTGTAAAAGAAAATTTAATCAAGAAATTTTTAGAGAAAATTCTTTTTGTCATGAAATTTACCCAATGTTCCTTTTGCTAATAAATAACGTTACGTTGCTGGTAGATATGCAGATGGCACCAGAGTGGTCGGAATCTTTGGAAATGATACTGTTAAAGTCCGCCTTAGCGGCGGCCAAAAGATAAAAGTGACGGACGTAATGGTCGGGTGTAGCGAGGCAATACGGGGGAATTTCCATGACATTGATGGAGTAATTGGGTTAGGCTTTGACCAGCACTCTTTTGCAGTGAAAGCAGCTAAGGAGTTTGGAGACAAATTTTCATACTGCTTGGTTGATCATCTGAGCCCTAGTAATCTTGTCAACTTTCTTGTCTTCGGTGGAGTTACTAGTTCTCCATTGCCAAACATGCAATTCACGCAGTTGATCCTTGGAATAGTAAATCCATATTATGCAGTAAACGTTTCTGGCATCTCAGTAAATGGTAAAATGCTGGATATCCCATCATATATATGGGATGTTAAGGGTGATGGTGGGGTTATTATGGACTCAGGTTCAAGCTTAACATACCTGGTGAAACCTTTATTCGATAAAGTCATAGCTGCTTTTCAGGCCCCTTTAAGCAAATTCCAGAAACTGGATCTGAACTTGGGGCCCGATTATTGTTTCAGTGCTGGAGGATTTGCGGAGTCGTTGATGCCAAAACTGGCAGTCCATTTTGCTGATGGAGCTAAGTTGGTGCCGCCAGTGAAAAGTTATGTCATCGATGCTGAAGAAGGGGTGAAGTGTCTGGGCTTTTCATCCACGAGTTGGCCTGGACCTTCCGTGATTGGTAATATTTTGCAGCAAAATCATTTGTGGGAATTTGATCTTCTAAATAGCAGGTTGGGTTTTGCTGCTTCAAGCTGTACATTTGACTGATCGTATGGATAAAACTATAGTCCTTCAGAGTTACTCTTTTGAAGCCAATTTGGGAATTATCCAAGAGTTGGAGTACTCTATTTATTGGAAGTCTTGTCTGCAGCTTTCCGGTGTATCATTATCATGGATGTATATTCAGTGAAGTGAAGTACTTACCATATGGATTTTATGTAAGCGTTGAACCCTTTTCTTTTCTTTTCCATTTTTTTCTGGATCAAATCATTTCCATTTCAAGAGAAGCTTAGTTTAAAAGAAATAAGAATACACATAAAAACACACACATATGTGTATTAGGAGAAACATAACAGGCTTGTCCTTCGTTGAGGAAAAGACATGCAATCAAATCACAAGCACAACTGAAATTTAAAACTTTTCCAGTTAGTAGATTCAAACTTTTGTTATTTAATAGATATAAAACCTAATTAGAGGAGAAAAATCATTATACTTCAAGATCTTGAAGTCATAATCACAAGGTTTTCAAACACAATAATAGTTCTTTACATTGAGTTTGGATCGCAACAAACCACAAGTTGTTTTAAGTGTATAGTCTCGGGTCTCCAATGATGATTCACAAGAATATCTCTTACTATTATTGCTAAAGGAGATCCGGTAAGTTTATACTTATACAGCCTAGTGCTAGCTACGGGAGATTAGGCTCAAGGTTCTCTCTTCACAAGGAGTCCAAACACAACCAAGAATATAGAGGAATACCAATTGGGGACAAGTTATCAATTTCTCTTAATGTTAATGTGTGTAATTCATTAAGTTCTTAATATGTTAGCAATAAACATAAATATAATCCAAGATAAATTAGAATTAGATGAATTAAAGTGCTTTACATTTATCATCAATTCTAAATTGATTAGTTCATATTTATAAGTCAAGATTGATATTTAGTAATGCATTGTGACTAAGAGTTAAGAAGAATGATAGTGGTTTGACTCAACATATTTGTGCATAGTTTTAGTGTGTAATTAATATCTCGACAAGGCATAAAACATGGTGTAGTGTCTATACTATATTATTGTTTTGCCATTTTTGTTCTTGTAGTTTGTCTTTTAACTCCTTAATGAAATTTGAAAAGAATCATTTTCTAGATCTTCATTCTACCTTGACCAAGGATTTTTTCAAGTTAAGACATTCCAAGAAATAATTGAATATTCTCTTTAGTATCACTTAGGATAATGAATCTTTTATTAATCATTCAGTTACCTTCATCTGATTTATGTTGTATCCAATGTCCATCTCTTTATGAGCATCCTTGATTGAGACCGCTTTAAATAGTACCAAGTATAATAGTTCACAAATAAGGCAACTTGATAATTTGAAATTAAAAGATCACTTCCACGATTGTCACATGATAAATTATTTCATAGATACTTGAGTAATAATACTAAATGGAATTCTCATTGTGGGCCATGTTTAATGAACTTGTTCATGTAACAAGTATTTGCATATTAGTTCACGCATCCCATATTTCAATTTATGATGAGATCAATTACACACTTTATAATGAGGAACCTAATATTATGCTAGTCCCTTGGTTTTATCAATATCTAGTTCTTTATAAAATATTGTCTGAGAATTTTTAAGAAATCTAATTTCATGCAATAATGATATCATAATTATAACACTTTATAATTCATTTTGCATAATATATATAATTCCATGGATTTTATTTCATTTAGTCGGTTATATACAAGTTTTACAAAAAAAAATATCTTTTATTAAAAGTAAATACTTAAAGTACATAATCTCTATACAACCAAATAAGATAATAAACCTTTGAACTTTTATTATGTTCAATCAAACTCTTATATTTTTATTTTAAACTAAAAAAAACCTTTTTCTTATATTTTAAGTCAAATAAGCCCTTATAATTAGTGATTGACTTAATTAAAATATTTTCTCCACCGTAAAATTATAAAATTAATATAAATACTAATTCTCTAAGTTTGAAAATATTAATATTTATTAATTGTATATAACCTCTAAAACTTAATTTTCAACATTAAAAATAGGGTAAAATATCCCTACCTTCTTAAGTTTTGTCTATAATTTCAAACGGGTCTATTAATATTCAAAATAAATAGTTTGGTCAAAAAGTGTAAATGATGTTAATGACAAATATAAAATATCTAAAATGCCCATCACGTTTAGATCATAGTGCCTTATTATTTTAAAAGAAATAAGAGGATACCATTTTGAGATCTTATTATTTTGAAAGAAATGATATGTGAATATTTCAAACCATGCCATTTTGACTCGTAAATAATTTTCTTTTAAGATTTCATTTTCAATTATCCAAATGTTATTATGTCCTGAAAAGGGATTTTCTTCAAAATACATGCGCCCTAAATAGAATTTGGATTGATATTGGGCCAAACCGTGTAATTGGGTAAAATCAACAAAAGGCCCAACCAAAGTTAACAAAATGGGCTCCCCTTATATTCCTTTCGCTCCCACCCAACCCAAAAGAAAGGGAGAAAATCCAAAGAAAAGAGGAGTAAGTAAACGCAGCAAGAAAGAGAGAAACTTTTGCATTCGTTCACTCCTCCGTTCCTGGGGAGGGTTTTTGTTCCTCATTTCTCTCAATCTATTACAGCAAAAAGGGATTAATTGCATAGCTTTGTTTCTTGTTTCCCGATCGAAATAATTCGGTAATCGTCTCTCTCTCTCTGAGCTCTCTGTTGCTTTGATAATCTAATTTCGTTTTCTTTCTTTAAGGAATTTTCATTCTTTATATTCTTTAAACTGTTTCAGTTAATACGATAAAAAGTGGGTTTACAATTTATTACGGAGGCGGTTCGATCCTTGATCTCGTTTCCATGCCATGCCCGGAAAATATATATATATATATATATATGTATGTTTTACTTTTTCTGTCTGTATCAACTGTGTCGGATACGTATCCCGGAGTGTCTGTATCTAATGCGGATACGACACCTGTGCACAAGGTGGTGTCTGGTGTCTCTGGAGGCAGTGGCAAAGTTAGCTTTTTCTTTTAGCTATTGCTTGTGAACACTAGAGATCTTTATACTGCAAATAGAGACTTATACAGCGTTATTGGCCAATAAGCACTATGTTGTTGTTCAATTGTGGATATCATGTTTCAAATTGGAAACTTTGGGCAATCCTTATGTCACTTGAACAATGTGAATTTTGCATTGATGAGTTTTGCACAAACAGGGTGTGCAGTAATGGCGACTGAAAACGTGAATAATGAAGTTCGTGTGGGGGAAATTGAGGAGTTAGAGACTTCAAATGGCATTGAGAAATTAGAGATTTCGAATGGCAATGATGAGGTCTCTGAAAATTCTTCATCAATGCAAAAAGAGGAAGATGGGGGAATAGGTGATGAATTTGTTGTCGGATAATTCTATAGCTTTTCTTACTGTATGCTTACTGCTGCTTGTCTCAATCATTTATGTATTTTACATATGCAGTAAATGCTGCACTGGCATTTTAATGTTTTCTGGGTGAATCTCCTCCACAAGAGGTTCTCCGAGTAACTTTTTAAGTTGCTCTGCCAAATTATATAAACTTATTTCAAATGCTAGTTAAATGATCCCGAGCAGCTCATTTAAAGGGGATTTGCAGGTTTTAAGAGCCTAAGATCCTCTTCGTGTGTGGTAATTAAGTTTGACTGCATTTTCTTTGTAAATGTGATGCTTTTGTGTATTCTTCCAATACTACTGGTTATCCTGTACTCATCTAGTTAATAAATCATTAGTATAGTCTTTTTTGTGAGCTTTTCATACTCTGATAGAAAATAAAAACATTTTCACAAAGTACATTAACATTGGCACAATCTACAGATATGTTGGAAAAGAAGAGTGAGGGGAAGCTTCTGGTTGATTTTATTTTGTTTGTGGGGTGTGCAGGTTTGAAAGAGGATTTGTTCTATGTTGGCAACATTGGTTCATAGCCTAGGAACCTAGCTGTATAATTGCTCTTCTAAATGTTAATATTTGAAAGTTATTATTATGTTGTAAGATTAACACAGGATCATCTATCATGTGACTGATAATGGTAGATGCCTAAATTGTGATTATGCTTCTATATCTCTCCAACCTCCAATTCCTGATCCGTTTGGTTTTGCTTTAAGATATTTTTGTTCCAATAAGATGATAGTGCTTCTCTCAAAGGCTTCAGGTTTCAATGGTATTTTTGTGATTGTAGTTTTGAGTTTTGAGGGAGCTTAATTATGATGCTTTTTTAATTTAAATGTCATGTTCTAAAGGTGGTTTAACTACTTTGTTTTATAAAATTCAACAGCACTTTTGTTTGCTAATATATGCACTTTTCTGCATTTTTAAAACTGTTTCCTAGCAGAAGTTGCAAAGAAGAAAAAGAAGAAAAATAAAAGCAAGTGAGGACCTGTTTCTAGCTTTATTAAGTTGTTTTCTTATGAAGATGTTCTGTTGAGAGTTTGATGATATTATGTTCTGTAACTCACAGGAAAAAGAAGGAGCCACTGAAGCAGACTGATCCGCCATCTATTCCTGTTGTTGAGCTTTTCCCATCTAGGGAGTTTCCTGAGGGTGAAATTCAACAGTACAAAGATGAGTGAGTCATACCATTTTCTCAAAGCTATTTTTAATTGCAAGTATTCATTATATTTAATTCCCGAAGTTGAGATAAAAGAATCTGTTCAGTGCATGTTCTTTTTCTTCTAATTTATAATAAAATACAAAGGTTAGGTTGTGATACAAGGGCTTCCTAGGAGGCACCTGCGTCTTCTTTTGTCTTTGCTGATATATATGTAAAACTTTATGCGGTATAAGGTGCATCTCTTTTAAGTTTGTCTGTGTGAAGCTTGAATATTTATTGTTGGTATTGGTTTATCAGTAATTTGTGGAGGACTACCTCTGAGGAGAAGAGAGAATTGGAGCGCCTTGAAAAGCCAAAATATACTGCTGTCCGCCAAGCAGCTGAAGTCCATCGTCAGGTCTGTATATTTCTTATAAATATATATTTTTCTGCTTGATATGAAATTTTTATATTATTCAATGTGGGCAAGTTTGGCTTTGGGATTTTTGCTATGGGTTTTTGGCCTTAACCGGTATTGCTTACTCATTCTTAGGTTCGGAAATATATCAGAAGCATTTTGAAACCTGGAATGTTAATGACTGACCTGTGTGAGACCTTGGAGAACACAGTTCGCAAGCTAATTTCAGAGAATGGTTTGCAAGCAGGGATTGCATTTCCTACTGGATGCTCTCTCAACTGGTTAGCTTTATGTTTGACATTTGATAAATCTCCTATTTACATTTACCTTTAATCGGCTGTATCTATACTCACCTCTTTCCTGGGTCAGGGTTGCTGCTCACTGGACTCCCAATTCTGGAGATAAGACTGTGCTTCAGTATGATGATGTGATGAAGTTGGATTTTGGAACTCATATTGATGGTAATACCATAGTTGCTCCATCTTGTTCTTCTTTGGTCCGGTCTATTTGCTGTATAGCTGCATAATTTCTTCTGTGGTTACGATATTACATACTTTTGACCTGGGAATGTTATCAAACATGAGTTATTGGCTTTGCAGGATATATAGTTGATTGTGCCTTCACAGTGGCATTTAATCCTATGTATGATCCGCTTCTTGAAGCTTCCCGTGAAGCAACCAATACAGGCATCAAGGTACTGGGTCCATTAGCCTGTTGAAGAGAGGATGGCTATTGGTCTTGGTTTTGACTTTCTTCCAATTAAATATATTTCCCTTAGTAGGCTTATTCTTGAACATGTTTTTTTTTTGTTTCTTTTGTTTTAGTAAGTTGCTGATGGATGAAAAGAAATTTCAGCCATTTTTTGTCTGTCAAATTTTTTCTCTTCTAGTCTCAGTTAATTCAAGTCCTAATTGAATCCTGGAATTTGATGTCTCCTACAAACTACCACTTTCTGTGATAGGTCATATCTACACATACATAACTTACCATTATATCATTCTTTTCATTAAAAGTTTGGGACCTGTAATTAAGTTTCATGTATACAGTCTTTATATAAATGTTGTTGTGTATTGTTCTGGACACTGTTTCTGTTAGCTCAGCGTGTTTGAGAGGAGAGAACTAGTAAGAAAAGAGAAGCTAGAATAATCTTGTCTGATATGGTTGCAAAGAAATGAAAGGGGACTTAAAATTGGAAGCACTGTTGAAGGTGCACTGAAATCTTTCACTTAAATGTGTACAGAAAAATATGGAGATAAAAAAATGTTCCAAGAGGAAAGGATTTTTTCTTGTAATACTTTGTACTTGCTTCTCTTCTCTTTCTTGTATCGGTGGAAGACAGCCGGTTCTGATGTACCTTTTTTGCCCTACCAACCTTTCCTTCCCTCTGAACCATCAAGCCCAAAAAAGGAAATATCCTGTTCTTCCTTTTTTAATGATTCCACATTTAAACTATTATCTCTGTTTTGTTCTTGTTGAATTTTTGTGATATATTGATATATGTGTGGAGTTATGGTTGGAGTCTATGATCTTTGAGGTCCTTTTATCTACACTAGTATTCACTAATTTTATTGAAATATATACCAAAGAGATCGTGTCTTTGATGGTCATTTAATTGGTCAGGAATCTGGTATTGATGTCCGTCTTTGTGATGTTGGTGCTGCAATTCAAGAGGTGATGGAATCATATGAGGTTGAAATAAATGGGAAGGTGTTTCAAGGTATGAAATTCTGGAGAAAGTTTGAATATTTAAATACAATTTATTGTGGGAAAATTTCTGTTGCTCAGCTTTTCGTCTGTTCATGTGCTTGGGATAACTGACAAGTCAGCTAATTTATCCTTGTTGAAAGAATGTAGGTTTGTTTTATTACCACTGCAAATTTAGTTTTTGTTAATTACTATCATCATTAAGTACAAATAAGTGGGCTTTTATTGAGTGGTGTCAACACAGAAAATGTCTGCAAGATGAAATTTGTGATAATTCTAATTTCCTTGGATACATACCTTATGAGTAAATAAAAACAATATATAGGTGGTTTTGCATTTAAGTGACATAAAAAAACTTCATGAGTATATATAATGGACATTAATTACAACTGGTAATTGCATTTGATTGACATGGATTTAATATGGTTTTCAGCAAGCTTTTCTCATTTTGGACTGCCAATTGCATATATCACCATTTGTTTTGAACCTTCCTCCTTTTCTGGAAGCAACATATGGTTGAAGTTGCTGAAATTTTTTTGAAACAGATATGATCTAGTAGCTAAATGAAAATTATTTACACATACACCAAGAGTCCTTTGGATATTTGTCTTTGTATAAACTTTTTATAAGGTGATTTGTTTATGTCATTGGCAGTCAAAAGTATCCGAAACTTGAATGGACACAGCATTGGGCCCTATCAGATACATGCTGGAAAATCAGTTCCTATTGTGAAAGGAGGGGAGCAAACAAAAATGGAAGAGGGTGAATTTTTTGCCATTGAAACCTTTGCTTCTACAGGTAATGATTCTCATCTGATAGGGAACTGAATCGATTACATAATAGATGCCAGTTGGTGTATATCATGACCTCTGGTGTAACCGGTCATTCATTTTTGTGCAGGGAAAGGGTATGTCAGAGAAGATTTAGAGTGCAGCCATTATATGAAAAATTTTGATGTTGGACACATTCCTCTGAGGTTGCCTAGAGCTAAGCAGCTGTTAGCTACAATAAACAAGAACTTTTCTACATTGGCCTTCTGTAGACGGTATTTAGATCGCTTGGGAGAGACCAAATATCTGATGGCCCTGAAAAATTTATGTGATGCTGGCATTGTTCAGGTATCTTCTTGCCATTGGTCTTCAACTGTCTTTTTTTGAAATTTTTGGAGTTGCACTTTGTTTCAAGTCCTTGTTGAAAACTTTTTGATGGCCTTCCTTTCTATATATTGTATGCATTTGTCCAAGTTTCTAAATAGGTGTCCACCCTACTCCGATTTCAATATTTCAAGGCTTTCTGCTGTAAATTGGGCTTCTATGTGGACTGGAGTCACTGGATAGTCTTATCATGACTTTACTATCATTTAGCTTTATGGCAGTGATTTGGGTCCATCCGTATAGAGATGAATGTGTTTCAGAGAAAGCAAGTTCTAATGCTGACCCTGAAAACAAATAAGTATGAATGAGTACTAGGTGTTAAACAAGCAACAGCTGACTTGGCCTTCATGCGGTTTTCTATTTAACTAATAGTAATTAATTTAGTGAACATTTAGGACAGATTCCTCAAGAAATCAGTCCACAGTATGATGCTGATGCTGGTAGCACATACACATACATTGTTCTATTCCAAAACACATTCTATATTGTCTTGTAATTTTCAATGTGGTTTGCACTTTATAATTTACATAATGGGAATTCTGAAACCTGCTTTTGATCAGGGCTGTTGTGACAGGTTCATTTGTGTTGCCGAGTAGTTTTTGAACTATACTGTGCTTTGTCTGTTCATAATTCTACATAATATATGTGTAAATTGGAGTCGACATTGAGTTGGTTTTTGTGCCATGCAGAACAGATACAAAGTTATTGATCACAAAGGGCTAAAGAACTTATCTTTTTTAGTGTTAAACTTCAGTATTCTTGTTTTTTCTTAATTCATGATGTGGTCTGAAATGCCAGTTGAGAGTATTGAAGAACTTTGTACTTTTTCTTGCAGCCGTATCCTCCTCTGTGTGATGTTAAGGGCAGCTATGTCTCTCAGTTTGAACATACCATCTTACTGCGGCCAACCTGCAAAGAAGTTATATCTAGGGGTGATGATTATTGAGGGGAAAAAGCAAAAAGTTTTGTCAGTAATCATCTCCTTGCATATTTCTTTCCGTGGGTATGAGTTAGTGGAAGCTTTAAGTGTACTACAATTTACTGTAATTTTAGCAACTCTACTTTTCTGTTTTGAAGCCCCGAAATAGTGGATTCTATGTTTGTCACTTCTGTGCTTTTTGGTGTGCCATGTTTGAAAGATGAGACATTTGAGTTAGGCAATACTTGGTAGGAAGGATAAGATGGAAACACAGTGAGTGTCAAAGGCTAGGAGAGCAAGTGAATAGAAAAGCAATAGACATGGATTGGATGTTTTCCTTTCAATCCTGAAAAAGATTTATGGGAGGGAAAGCAAGGTAATGTGACTTCAGTTTTGCAAAAGATACCAAATTCTTAACCCTTTACTCTTTATTTTTTTTTAATTTAATAATAATCTGTTGCGAGTATAAAATGGTGGTAACTTGCCCAAAATTGCTAGCTAGGATTGACTCTTTATCTTTTTAAAATTTAATTTAATTCAAAAATGAAGTGTAAAATATTTTTTAATATTAATATTGAAATAACCTTAATAAATAGTATGTGAATATAAGCTCATACAAGCTTAGTCTTCCTTTCTTCTTCTGTTTTTGTTCATATGATTCAGAATTATATAATTAAAAATAATTTTTGGTTTATAAATCTTGCCCTTTTCTTTTTATATGATTAGATCTAAGTTTAAATTTCTTAAATTAAAAATCTCAAATTCGAATGATTTACGTCCGACGACTTAGTCGCAAGAAGATTTCTAAGTCCAAAGAAGCAAACAATATTTAATTACTTTTTGCTAAATCTATTGAAGCCCGGAAAGCTGTGCCAGTAAGAAAGTAACAAATCCATTATGCAAAACCAAACATGACGGGTGAGAGCACTAATCCGTTGACCCAATCCCTTAAAAAACACCCAATGGGCTTCTGCTCAGTTTTGACCTGCGTGGAGGACGAACTGGACAATGTGGAGCTCAGAATCCCAAGTGAAGGAAAAGAGAAGAGTTTAGTCTAATATTGGGGGTGACGGATGAGTCGTGAGTAATCTGCAGAGAAAATCTAAAATACCAACGGCTAAACCAACCAACACACTGACACTGTGGGCCGACCCTTATCACATCAGTCATTCATTCAACTCTATCTGCTTTAAATCGTCCTCCCTTTCTTTCTTCCTTACACACTACATAAAAACCTTGGACACAATCTCAAAAACAAAGAACCAATTTGTCCCCGTTTTACAGAAAGATCAACAGCACCCATCACCAAAGCTTTAGCAATGCCACCCCCAACAGCAACGCTCTCTGTCGCTTCTTCTTCTTCTCTATCTCTATTCCCATTTTCTTCTTACTATTGTTCGAAACAACCCCAATTACGCTTCAGCCCCTCCCCCACCCCTGCCAGGCTCACCCATTTCACACCCCTCACCACACCCAACTACCCAATTGGCAAACTCATGACACTCTCCGCTGTTTCCATCGAGAAAGAAACTATGATATCCGAGCGACCCCACACTTTCCTCCGTGAAACTGACTGCGAAGATGACGGCTCCGTTAGGGCGCGCTTCCAGCGCATGATAATGGAGGTGCAGGACAGCGTGTGCGGCGCCCTGGAGGCTCTCGATGGAACCGGCAAGTTTAAGGAGGACGCGTGGACCAGGCCTGGAGGCGGTGGAGGAATCAGCAGAGTGTTGCAAGACGGTGCTGTTTTCGAAAAGGCTGGTGTTAATATCTCTGTTGTTTATGGAGTTATGCCCCCTGAAGCATACCGAGCTGCCAAGGCTGCTGCCACTGATCTGAAGCCCGGCCCCATTCCCTTTTTCGCCGCCGGAATCAGCTCGGTAATTACTCGCTCTCAATTTTCTTATTTTGTTTTCAAATTTTGGTTCAGTGCCGTTGAAAGAACAAAATGCTGATAATTATCATTTTGGGTTTTCATATTTTTTCAGGTTTTGCACCCGAAGAATCCGTTTGCTCCTACATTGCATTTTAATTATCGGTATTTTGAAACTGATGCTCCTAAAGGTACTTAATTTCTTCTTAGTTATTATTATTAAATTATAGAACGTTGCATGCTAATATGGTAATTTAAATGATAATTGATATGTCGCCTAGCATCCTGATTTGTCAACAAAGTGATAGGAAGGATCTATGTAATGATTTCTATACGTATGTTGATTTTTTTCGCTTCCCAAAATTAGCGGAATGATATATAATTAGACCTTGGCAGTTTATGGTGTTACCTGATTCCAAGAGATTGGTTCCATTAGCTAGACATATGTTATCATCAGCATAAAATCAAGCACATATAATGCATTTCTTCTCATTGGCAATTCAGTGTCAATGGCTGGTATGCTGTATGGTCCACTTTGGTAGTTGTTCTTCATAATCAAAAAGGAATATTTTCTTGATGATTTCAATTTGCATTGCTTTCCCTGAGTTGCATTCTCAATACTCTGAGATTATGCATTGCATTAGTCGTCTAAGATAAGCAAAGCGGTATAAGTTCTAGTTGGTGACTCATCTTGAAAATGTGCAGATGCTCCTGGAGCACCTAGGCAATGGTGGTTTGGTGGTGGAACTGATTTTACTCCAGCTTACATCTTTGAGGAGGATGTCAAGCACTTCCATTCAGTAAGTTGGATTTTTCTTCTTTCTTTCTGTTTGTTTGTTGTTGTTGTTGTGTGTGCATGTGTGTTTTTTTTCCTTGAGTCATATAGCTTGCTTGGTCTTCTGGAAAATGCTTTCTCTGTTCTACCCCACATTAAAAGTTCAGGCATCTGCATTTAGCATGATTAAAAATAGTGCTAGTTTCACTTTGAGAGAGTAAAAGATTGATCTTATCAAAGAAATTTGAAGAAATTTGAGAATTTGAGCAGAACTTTTTTTTAACTTGTTGTTAAATATCTATATACAGATTTACTAGAAAGCACAAGGATGAAATCCTTTTAAGAGCTGTAACCTGTGTTTCTTTTACATAGTAGTATAGATTCATTAAAAAGTTGGAGATTGGCGTTTTCTACTGCCAGTGCATTTTACATGTCAGCCTCAAAGGTAACTGCAAAAATAATAACTATACCTGTGACTGTATGTGCAGAACATTAATTCTATCTTGTAAAATATTTTTGAGGAATGAAACGTTTTGCTGAATGTTCTTTTGCTAACATTGACCCTCTTGTGTAGATACAAAAAAAGGCCTGTGATAAATTTGATTCATCCTTTTATCCCCGATTCAAAAAATGGTGTGATGACTATTTTTACATTAAGGTATGATCTTGCTAGATTTTTTTTTTATTTCTGTTTTATATTTCTTATTTACTTTCTTTCAGTTTTAGGATTATGTGTTGTAGCATCTGAAATAATAAAAATGGGCTATCTTGCCACTCAAGGCATTGAAGCTGTGATTGTCAACCTTTTTTTTCTTTTTGGATCTATGATGCTATTAATGTTTGAGGCTGGAAGCAAGAATTAATGCACCTAGGTGCTAAGGTGCAGTGTAAATCAACTCAAGCCCTTGCGTGCTTTGGGTGAGACACCTTAGATTACGCACATGCCTTTTGCACTCAGGCATGCTTTTTTAAAGGTGAAAGGCACATAACAAGCTTGGTTGGCTTTAATGTCTCCTTGGATTCTTTAATTTGTAATTTCTTTTATTAGCTATAAATTTCATACATGCTATCTCAACAAGAATAAAAAATGGGGTACTATAGTTCATGCACAACATTTTGTTGAAAGTGGAAATGGAAAATAATTATGATAATGCTTATTTTTGAAATACATTAGGTAATGTAATGAAGCAAAGTCTTGAATGTTCATTTGCAAATCTTTTTTCTTTTTTCTTTTTATTTAGGAGAAGGGGAGATTCAAACTTTGCTCTTTGTGCAGGGGGATCATGCACTAACCATTGAGCCAAATGTTTGGGTTCTATAAATCATATTTTTAAGCTTATGAAATATAATAAATATAATTTTCTTATATATGTATATAAATTTTTATAAATTAGAGCCTTACATCACTAGGTTGAGTGCTTCTTTCCTTTTGTGCCTTGGGCATTGGGCAATGTAAGATTCTAGAGTGCATCCTATGCCTTTTGACAACATTGATGGTTATTGGTCAGCATTCTGGATGATGGATGCATATAGGTTTTGTCCACAAATAGCTCTTTATGAATAGATGACTATGAAATATAATAATGATTGAGAATTCTGGTCTGCAGCGCTTTAGAGTACTCATCTGCTCATATAATAAGGATATAGTTCTTGCATATTTCTAAAAGAATTGAATTACCTCTCAATCCAGCTCTCATAAATTCACCTTCAGCCTCCTTTTACTAACTCATCTCATTCATAGACATAATAATCAATATTATTTATATAGGATCCTATGTATTAGCAATTTGTAAGATAGTAGTAAAGCCCGGTTAGAACTAATAACTGCTTGCATAATACCCCATGGTGGGCTTGCCATTTTTGAACTCAATAAATGTGTTTCTCCAAGTATGTTCAAATGATTTACTAAATAGCTATTTGTTTTGCCTAGTCTTAGTTTGATTAATGTTACTTTTATGTTTACCATAGTGATGTTTTTGAATTTTTCCTGTCCCATTACATGTAATGTTTTCCTTTTCTTGATATCTGACAATAAATATTGTTTGCTGTGATTTAAAGCTTTTTATTTCTTTATTTTGCAGTGATAATAAAAAGCCATTGACTTTAGTATTATTTTAAGAATTCTAGATTTGTTTATTTCTCATATTGGATTTAACATAATAATTAAAAGACCATTAAACTTTAGTATTATATATTGGAAACTCAACGTAAAAGTATATGAAGTCGGATATATCTCTGTCTAAAAATGTGCATCCTTTGAAACATTCATCCAGAGATAAGATAGAGGGGCCGTTATTCAGGGCAGAAGCTTGGTAGTTTTGAGTAACATCAGTAATCTACCATGATGATCATACATTTTCTAGAAGCTTTCTTTATGTCGTCTTTTTTTCTTGTTGACCTTTTTCTACATTTAGTTATAGGAGGATTAAATTGTTAAACTTTTATGTTTACTTTGAATGCTCTATGCAGCATCGAGGTGAGAGACGAGGGCTTGGGGGAATATTTTTTGATGATCTAAATGACTATGATCAAGAGATGCTTCTTTCATTTGCCACTGGTAATTTATCTAGACTGAGATTACTCTTTTTGAGTGTTGGCTGCTTACAAATAGCAATTGCAGTGGACTACACTTTTTATAATGAAACCATTTACTATTGATTTGCAGAATGTGCAAATTCTGTGATTCCTGCGTACATACCGATTGTAGAGAAAAGGAAGGATACACCTTTTAATGAGAGCCACAAGGCATGGCAACAATTGCGAAGGGGTCGCTATGTAGAATTCAACTTGGTACTGAATCTAGTTATAATTAAATTAGACAGATTTGACATCTTAGATTTCTCTAAATTAGACCGTTAAATTATATTTGATTTGTTAACGACAGGTTTATGATCGGGGAACAACATTTGGACTGAAGACAGGAGGTCGAATTGAAAGTATTCTTGTTTCTCTCCCTTTGACTGCACGATGGGAATATGATCATGTAAGCTTTGTGCCGCAAGTAAAAGTTCTTTGAATCATTCTGCATAAATGTTCAGTGTGATATGTTACCAATATAAAGTAACTGTAACTGATAATGGGAGGGTTTTTTATTTTTTAACTTTGTTTGACGTGCAGAAACCAGAAGAGGGAAGCGAAGAGTGGAAACTATTAGATGCCTGCATCAATCCTAAGGAATGGATATGATCTTAATGCATCAACCGTAAGGAATGTGTCTGATACTTACCGTTTTGACTTTCTTTGTATCATTTTGAAATTTCCCATTCGTTCCTACGCTTTTTAGTTTTTGTTTTTCCTATTCTCGTTTCTTCTTAAGAAGGGAGTGTTATCCTGCGGCAGAAGTTGTAAGTTAGCTTGGTGGTTTTGTTGTATTAAGGTGAAAGGGGAGTCGTCGTTGTAAATCATGGGTCTCATTCCTGTAATACACATATTGTTTAGAGGCCAACAGTGCTAATAATATTGTGAATCTGATAACATCTCGCTCTTCACGTGGAAATGGAATTTTTATCCTGTTGTGTTAATACTTGCAAGAAAAGTGTGCCCCTGCAACTCCTAGCTGCATTTGTGGATACCCTTCATTTTTCTTATCATTTGAGTTCAACCCTTGGAAAATGCCCTTCATCACGATCTGGTGTACCACGATGCAACCATGAGACAAATTTAACAGAACATTCTGGAAAGGGAAGCCCCATCCCCTCCTAACAGAATGTAGAGTCATAACTTTGGCCAATATCAACAACAGAAACATACTACTAATGAGCTTTCTCCACGATAAGTTTGTGAAAAGGGCGACTTTCACAAAATCTTCATCAATAGTAAATGCTTTAATTAATTAGTTGTAAGGTCACTGCATAAGCTTTGTTCACAGTTCCAAAAAAAAAGATCCAAGATTATAAACATTCTGCAGATTTTTTACCTACAGAAAATGCACATCCTCAGAAACTTTGATGAGTGCCTAACCAGTAAAGGTTACTGGTACGATTCAAAGAACTGCTGGGAAATTTACAAAATAGGCCAATCAAGGAAATTTTCTCCTTGAGAACTCCTCAAAAATGATGAAGTGACTCCTATTGCTGTGTTGAATTTTCACTTGGCCAATCAAGGAACTTGTATCCTTGAAGCGAAGGTGGTAGGTATGTCTGAGTTGATGCAGAGGGATTATCTGGTGGATATATATAATCCTTTCCATATCCAAGTTCCTTCATTAGCTTCGTTGGTGCATTCCTCAAATGAAGCGGCACTCCCTCATTCTGTCCTACAGATTCCCTAACAACCTTCTGTGCAGTTTCAATGGCCCGATACACAGAGATAGACTTCGGAGCCAAAGCCAAGTAGGCAACACATTGCGCAAGAATCACATTACACTCAGGCATGCCCAAGAAATGACAAGCTTGATAACAAGAAACAGCCTGATTTAAGGCTAATGGATCAGCCAACCCAACATCCTCACTGGCAAACCTTATTAGTCTACGCGCAATGTAAAGAGGCTCTTCACCTCCTTCCAGCATTCTCGCCAACCAATAAATTGCAGCATCTGCATCACTTCCCCTCATTGACTTGTGGAGCGCACTGATCAAATTGTAATGCTCTTCCCCTGCTTTGTCATATGCAAGATGCTTGCATTGAAGTGCCTCCTTAGCATCATCCACCGTAATAACTGCTCCAAATGAACCAATCTCAGCTTCCTCACTTGTCAAGAAATTGAAATCCTTATGCGGCTCTACTCCCACACCTTTTAGTTGATTATCAACCACTCGGGCAGCCGCTGTTGTGGCAGAAATTTCCAAAGCATTCAACGCCACGCGAGCATCACCGTCACAATTCATAGACAAAAATTCAATAGCATCATCCTGAGCTTCAACCCTCGTCCCTACGCTCTGAGACAATCCCTTCTCTCTATCATTAATTGCTCTCCTCAAAAGAGTTTCAACATGGTGGGGTTTTAAAGGATTCAATGTAAGAACCCTACACCTAGACAACAATGGCGTAATCAAATGAAACGAAGGATTCTCTGTTGTCGCCCCCATAAACACAATACTCCCATCTTCAATCACGGGCAAAAAAGAATCCTGTTGTGATTTATTAAACCTATGAACTTCATCGACAAAAAGCACAGTCCTCTTGTTATTCTTAGCTCTCATTTTCCTAGCTTCCTCAACGGCGTCTCTAACATCCTTAACCCCACAGGTAACGGGAGACAAAGAAACAAATCGATAAAAAGACCGTTGTTGCGAAGAATTAACAATGGATTTAGCAATGGAAGTCTTACCAGTACCAGGAGGACCCCAAAAAATAATAGAAGGAATTCTGTTACGATCAATAGCAGAACGGAGAAGAGAATTGTTACCCAGAATATGTTCTTGACCAACTACGTCGAAAATAGTACGAGGACGCATCCGTTCGGACAAAGGCTCATGGATTTTAATGGTTTTGTCTTGTTGAGTGATCGCTTTGGGATGTTGCAATTTGCGGCGTTTATAATGGACAGGAGATGGGGCGGTGGAATCTTCTTCTAGGTCTTGTTGGGGCAAAATTTGGATGCTTGGAGCTGTGGCTGTGGGTTCAGGAGAAGGAGGGGAATTGGGACGTTTGGTGTGAAGATGAAAGAAGCGGTCGAGTTTGGGTTGGAAAGGAGGAGAAGTCTGGTTGGGGTTGGAGTTGGGGTTGGAGGCTTTGTGGGAAAGAATCCATTCGGTGGCTTTGAGAGTGGATTTGCCACCGGTGGCAGCAAGGGCTTGTGCTGCTAATTCACTCGGAAACCCCATGCTCAGCAGCTGCTGCATCTCCATTTTTTTTTATTCGTTTTTCCCACCAAAAGAGTGTTGCAACTGGGAATATGGCGCGGCGCTGGAACTGTAAAAGGACCTTCCTTGGTTCATTGTTCGCCTTTTTGTCTTCTTTTCTTTTTGCGTTACAAAACAGTGGGCAGGCTACGCTAGGCGAGGCCATCAAGTCTTTTTCCAAAGCCTATGTTAGCTTCATCCCTTATGTGAATTGGCCCAAATGCCGAATTTAAGAACTTCTACCACTACTTTTTGATTCCAGTGTTTCTGAACACAAATCACATTGCATGCTTGTGACAGAGATTAAAAACTTTCCTTTCCTTCTTACCAAACAGCTGATTAGTTCTCAATTTCAGAACGGAGCATTGGAAATTTTAGTTGCCATCCCATTTTAAGTCCGATTTTTAAACATTGATTTGAATAATTAAATTGCTTTACATTAGCGAGTGCCAAAAAAGAGCCAAAGAAGTGAAATTGAAACAATTTCCCAGGCCATACAGGATAGGATGCTTGCTATGTACACATCAATATTTTATAGCATTTTGATTCCAACTTTAATTCTACAAAACCCATGTGTTATCACCTTTCTGATCTGATTTCAATGCATTGAGCAGGGGTTGTGCCCTCCAGCAGTTTCTTTTCCTTCTCCTTTTCCTTTCCCCACAAAGTTAAATACAAACCGACAACTACGAGTAGAGCTCCCACTACGCTATAAAGGAGATGAGAAGTTAAAATAGACATCATCCTCAGCAACAAAAGGGGAAGGCAAAAGTATGCTAAAAGACACAGAAGAAAAGATAAAGAGTAACACAAAAAGATACTATGATAACATTTCAAACGTAATTCATTGATCCACATTGGTTTACACTTAAAAAATCTAGGTCTACATCTAAGCATGACCCATCCATTTAAATTTATTTATTGTTAAAATATAAAAATATTTATGTTAATTATTTTATATTTTTAAATATATATTTTAATAAAAAATATATATTTTTCTCATTAATACAATTATATTTGGGGTCGGGCTGGAGATTGAAAATCTTATACAAGATCAGGCTTGGGGCCTGAGGTAGCTCAACATGTGGACAAGTCTTCTTGAATGCAATGATCTTAATAAAGAATTTTGCTGCAAAGCTAAGCGTTCATGAGTATACTAAGCTAACTTGTGAAGTATATAAATATGAATTTATATTTGAGACATTGTATACTATTTCTTCTAAACGTGTAAAGATAAAAAATTTTAAAATAAATATTTTTAAAATTGAGTATTTATCTTTTATGATTTTCAATTTTTAAATTTATTTATTAACAAAGTAATAACATTTGGTTCATTAATAGTATATAAAATCCATACACTAATAGTGTATCAAGTATAAGCCTTCTAAATATTTTCACAATAAATTTAGTAAATAATAAATTATTTGATGATTTTCAAGTTAGCAAGTTATTTTCGTCCATAAAACCTCCAAAATAAAATAAGAATCGGTCCCTTCCCAAAAACAATGCATGTCCCTTTATTGTGGCAATACTGTGCCCAAAGATCGAAAGGCTGTCATGAAAACTACACCCTTTGTTTTTCCCACTAACGCTTGCAGATAAAATGTAAGTCCGAATATCACAATCCCCTGCAATAATCTCATCTTCATTGGATTACAGATACATATAAAAATGATTGGTATGCTTAATTTTAATATTTCTGATAGAACAAATACGAAACTGCTTACGCTATAAAGGAAAGCAACAAGTCTCATGTCCCAGGACAATCTCCAGGATGAAGCTTTATGATCTAAAGCAGCTGTCATGACTGCTGAGACTAAAGTCCCTGATAAGCATGTTAATGATGTAAGAGTTATTGGAGCTGGATACTTCTTCACAGTGACAGTCTGCATTGAATGATACTCGGTTAAAAAAGGGAAAAATGGAAAATGATGACCAAGTGTCATATATAAAACAAGAATAAAAGTCATTTTCTTCTTGATTGAAGTGTAAAAGGAAAAGAATCAATAGATATTGAATCTCGATCACCTGGAAAACAAGAAATGCGGATAATGAAAGGTAAGAAAGCAGGAGCATGAGAGAGCCTTTGATCCAGTCCTTGTTAAACTGCAGTTTTGAAGAGGCCTGAGTGTGGTGAAATCACAACACAACCCTTGTACAGTGTCATAAGTGTTGCACCAGCTAAGGCAACAACACTGCCTCCAACCTTTGCTCGGGCACTATGCTTGGACATCTCTAAGGCCTCCATCCTGTTTATTGTAATTAACCAAACAAAAACTTACACATTTATGTTTGTCGATTAATGTATGATTGCTTGTTTACTAATTTTCCTTTGTAATATATATATATATATATATGCATTTTGTGATTGTAATATTGTAATTGTAATTTTTAGTAAATTATTAGAATTACAGTTGCTATATATAATTAAATCTATATGGCATAAAACTAAACTTTGCTTAAAGTTCCTTTAGTAACTAGGTAATAGGTTAAGTCCCACCTTATGTGGATTTGTCTAATGGTAATGAAGATGAGCGAAAATGAGAAATTAATACTTATTTCATTACAAGAAGTCAACTCCTTTAAGTAGTGCAAATTGAACTATAGTTTTACCGATTACGTGTTTATCCTTTGCACAAGCTTGCAGTGATAAAACCTTGTGCTGATAAGATTTCACCTTAATTGTGAAGCCAACATTACCTGCATAGAACTGCAAATATAAAGGTCATTGATGGAATTAAGTTGGCCAGGGCAGATGCAACCGCTGGCGATGTGTCTTTCAGCCCTATATAAAACCATGTCCTTCCCAGCACAGCTCTGAGAAGTGAGATGCATACAATTGATTGAAACAAGGGCAATGTCAAGTCAATACGTTAGTAACTGCAAAATTCTTCAGTAAATTGAATTTACATTTACGAAAGTAACTCCCTTTTGGCCTCTCAATTGAAGAATATTTTCATCGCATCTCTCACAAATCAGTAGCAAATCAGCAATAAGTATGACTAACAGATCAGCAACAAGAATAGCACCAATCCTGGAAGATTGATGCACCATTCAGCACATCATTGACCCTATAATCTCTCCCTACTGTTGGACAAAGTTTCCTTATATAACATAGTTCGCAACCTATTTAAACAGAGGAAAACCAACTATGTTCTCAAGCAGAAAAATACTAGAAATTTGTATACTTGTTTTTTCTTCCTCCTCTGCCTACTATCACTCTTAACCTCTCTCTCTCCCTCTCTCTCTCCCTCTCTTCTCTAAAGCTCTTCATCAATATTAATGGTGGAACTAATATTTAGGTCAGGAAAAAAAAAAAAACCATAGAAATTAACTCACCCAAGGGTTCCCAGGAAGAAGATATCTCCCAGGATTGCCATGCTGATTTTTCTATCATTTTTTCTGCAAGAGAGATAGGCATTAATTAATTGCTAGTATACGGAAGTGAACTTAATTTCAAAGAGTAATTAAAAGAACTATCCATGAAACAAAACTCATAAGAGCTGGCTAAAAAGAATAATTTTCTCGGTGAGAATTGGTTAGTAATTATAACATAACTGATTAATTTGTTCTGTTAAAATGTTTTGCTCTTTTTCCATTCACTTTTTAGATACTTTTGTGTTTTTTTTCTTGAAAATGCTAGGATGACTCATTGAAAAAAGATAAATCCTTAAGAACAAGCAGTGATCGAAGCCGAGAAAGAAGAAAAAGAGACCTTTCAAATAGCAATGCAACAACAACTGTGGTGAGAGTTCCGAACACATGGCCATAAACCACAAGCACGTAACTGCTCATGCCATTAACAAGAGAGACCTTGGAGATTGTGTTGTCTCCTGCAAAGCAAATATTGCAGAATATGCAGATTGCATACGGTTTCAACCCTTCAAACCTTAGCTCTGCCTTTCTCTTTATCCCTCCCGCGGTTTCGCCCTGCTGCTGTGCTTCCATTTTCATTGATGTTAATATACATTTTCTTTCGAGTGATCATGATCTGCTTTGAACTAAACATAGATACACAGTAAGCCTGATATTTCACCTTCCATCGATAATTGAATCAACTTTATGTGGCAAATTGGTTCATGACTCAGGTGCCAAGGAACCTTCATAATAAGCAGAATCATTGAATCAAATTATACTGGGCCACTTACTGGATTTGACTTATAATTCTTCAAGTATAAATGGTTATTCATTTTTTTGGGTATATCCAAGATATGAATTATCCAAATAAAGATATTCCGTAACGTCAATACTCAATATTTCTTATACCTGTTACTGAGTATTTAACTTCAATGGGGCATCTATTACTATATAATCTACGGCAGATACGAAAGAAAGTCACTGAACAGATTCCGAGAGAGGCTTTTCTCCTTTTGGAGTAATTGCAAACTTGAATAAGCAGATACATTCTAATGCGCCACATGCAACAATATATACGTGAAAGCATGTTTCCTGGAATTTCCTTTTGGGTTACTTAGCTTTTCTTTTTCCAGATTGAACTCATTTTAGTTGGTAAACAAGTGAGCTTGGTGAGAAAGACAACTTCAATAATCAGACCTAAAAATATTAAAGTGGGAGAGAGGTGTTTTTGTGGTCATTCTTTCTTTGGTCTATGGATATAAGCAAATATTGTTTCTTGTACGCGTTTGATTTAGTATTGGACATGGTGTGATTTATTACTAAGGTTGCATCATGAACAATAATTTCTTCCTCAAGCCTTGTTCGCTTTCCACATTAATCATTTAATAATATGGTAGTATGTATCCAACCCAAATAATTTGGACCACCATATTTCGATATGGTTGTATGTATCCAACCCAAATTGGTTTTGATATGTACAACTCTAATTAATTAACATATAACAAAGAAGGTGGCCCGTGAGTTTGCCAAATAAAACTCATATATATGGTTCCGAATCACATTTTAATTTGAAACTTTAAGGCTTTAATTTGAAAATTTTATTTAATAATAAAATTAAAATAAAAAGTTAGCAAGATGGAAAAGGAAATTATTATTATCTGAAAGTAAGGTCACTTTTATTCGAAATTAAAATTATTTTTTTTAATATTTATTATTGTTTTATATGTCAATCTTCATAACTTGTTTTAATTGAAACATTGGAGCATATGAGTCTTTACTGTGATTGGATTGGGCTAGAGCTGCCTGGTTCTAGAGATGTGCTGGTTTTAAAGTTCGAGAAAAGAGTGCTGTAAGACTTGAAAAATTGGCATGCGGAAGTTTTTCCCAGCAGGATATGACAATGCTGAATAAAATTCAGGTTGCCCTTACTTGTTGGCATATTTGGAAGAGTAGATGTATAGTTGTGCTGGGGTGAAAAGAGTTGAACGTTCATGAAACAATCCATAGAATCAAGGCAGCTGTTTCTGAGCTTCTTAGCGTTCAAGCTAATGTTTCTAAAGACAATAAAAGTTGTCCTGGGGATAATTGGTCTCTTCTTGAGCAAGAATGGATAAAAGTTAATTGTGATGGTGCTTTTGAGGGTTCAACCTGTAAGGCAAACTGCTGGGGTTATAGCTAGAGATGAAAAGGTGCAGGCAGTGGCTGGCGTTGGCAAATCAGTTGAAGCAGGCTGTGCAATGGTTGCGGAAGTAGTTTTGGCTCTAAAGGAGGGGGCTCATTGGATATCAAAGAGAAAGTTGCTGGTGTGATTTTTGAATCTGGAGTCAAATAGCTGAGGAGGTTGGAAGATTGCTCTTATAAGATTCTGGAGTGTGTATTATTCAGCGGGCTACTAATTTAGCAGCTGATTGGGTTGGGAAGCAGTCTAGTAAGGGGATGTGCTCTGATGATTGGGGCAATCTACCTGTATCCTCTATGCTGTTCATATCTTGGTCTACCCTCGCCCCATGTTCAGTGACTTGGTTTTGCTGTTTCTCAGAATGGTTACAACTAAAAGTTTCTTTTTCTGGTTCTTATACTGAACTTCTTTGAAATGAATTTCTCTTTGTTCTTGACAAAACAAAATCATGTTAGTGCAAAAGATAAGGGGAGTACAATTGTAAAATTATACAATAATAGATAGTCTTTTACGTGTTTCAAGATTCCAATCCAAAAATTGTCAAAATACTAAATTTTTATTACTTATTAAAATAGGAACTAAATTTAGAATTGAATTTTATAACAGATAAATCTTTTCTCTATATTGGGTTCGATGGATGCCAAATATCCTAAAATATACCTTAATTTAAATCCGAAAAAACAAAAAAAAAACAACACTTAAATAAACAGCGAATTAATGTAGCATAGTGGCTGGTGCAGACTGGACCTAAAGTGGCTAGTGATGGCACATAATTTTCACCGCCTTTCAACTCCTCTCTCCCGCCGTCTTGCTTCTTCATTCAGCACCGACGCCGCCACCACCGCCCCCACAGGCAAAGTTCCTCTTCTTTACAAAAGCCCAGAATTTAACCAAGATACCCAAAAGGAGGCTGCAACACTCCAAGTCCTTTCATGGGGCAGAGGGGCATCAGGCCAACTAGGCGGCGGCATTGAAGAAATCAGAATATACCCATCGCCGGTAGCCAATCTACTCTTTCCACCCGCCTTCTTTTCTCTCTCCCCAACCCCAGGTAAAATCTTTAGTCAACGGCAGAACCAAAGCCAAAAGGGGGAAACTTTGCCTTCAGTTGGGATTTCTTGTGGGTTGTTCCATTCGAGTTTGGTTGTTGATGGGAAGTTGTGGATGTGGGGAAAAGGTGATGGAGGTCGTCTTGGTTTTGGCCATGAAAATCCTGCTTTTTTGCCTACTTTGAATCCTTACCTGGATTCTGTTTCCTCTGTTGCTCTCGGTGGACTTCACTCTGTAGCTCTTACTTCCCTTGGAGAGGTGTTTACTTGGTCAGTAATCTGTCTGCCTACATTGCACTTTCTTAGTATTTACTTTTATTTTGCTGTCTTCCTTAATATTGATCTAAATCTGGCTATTATTGATGAAAAGAAAATTGCTTTATGTTATGTCTCGATTGGTTGAATGTTTAGAGTAAGATTGAAACATTAAATGAAAATTCAAAGTTCATATACTGAAGGTTATTGTTGACTGTTGAAACTCGAATTGGAGTGAATTTTTACTTATACTTATAGGTGAGTGGAAGGAATGGAGTTTAGTGAAGAGGAAATATGCGATTGAAGAGAGAGTTAATGAAATTGGGTAGAGAAAATGAATTTTATAATTTTGATTTTGGAATGTATAAAAATTACTACATTGTCATAGTTAAATGATTATATAGGAATATTTTTTAAAGTTTCAAAGATATTTATGGATCAATGAGGGCAATATTCATTGTTAAAAACTAACTCGTGATTTCTTATATTGATACCAGAGAGGTGTTATGAATGAACACTGTTTGAATGATTTATGTCAGAACTCGCAAATTAGAGATAAAAATTCAAATTTTTTTTTAAAAAATTAAACATCAATTTAATTAAATAGAATAGTTATTTATAAAAACTAATTCTACAGCATAGGTTTGCATATGTGTTTTGTACACCTTTTTTTTTTTGGTTTAAGTTATGGAGAGAAAGAGGGTGATAAGGAAAAGGGATGTTAATTTGAATTGTAAGTTGGAAAATATTTTAATAAAAGTGGGCATGAGATGATATTATGCAAGATTGTTGTTTCCATGTTCTAGGAAAAAGGAAATAGAAAATTGCAGCATGACTGTTGTAATGCTGCTTATTGTTATGTTTCCATTATTATTTTTAGGGATTTTATGGTTGATTTTGTTTCTTCCACTTGGCTGAAAATGAATTTTCAGCTATATATATATATGTTATTATTGATAAAAAAAGATTTGACTGGGTGCTTTTTGTCAAGAGTGTTAGAGATGTAGAAGGAAGATGACAATTTTGAGCGAATGCTTTGTAGGTGTTAATTTTGTCAAGTGAATATTATTACTTCTTGTGTAGATCGTAAGTTAGATTGTAAAAGACTTTGTATGGGATGGAAGAGGGTTTTTTTTTTGCTTAATTAGTAGTATGCATATTGAGTAGTCCGTGTTGGTCTCTTCACTTGAAATTAATTCTGTCAAAACCACTAATGCAAAATATTTCTCTGTTAAAATGAAGTTTGCAGGGGTTATGGGGGTTTTGGTGCACTTGGGCATCACGTTTATCACAGAGAACTTATCCCAAGATTGGTAGAAGGCAATTGGAGTGAAAACATACGTCATATTTCAACTAGCGGGACACATACTGCTGCTATAACTGAATCAGGTTTTCTCAATGTTGACTTATTGGATTGCTTTTGAGTTTCTTTGAATTTTAGGTCAGCTACTTGTAGATTCTTTTTAGAGCCTGTTCCTCTTTTTGGTAATATTAATCGTAATGATGCATGAATTTCCTGGTCCATAAATGAAAAAAAAAAAAAAGAAATAGGTGGCACATTCATAATTTCCACAGAAAGGAGTGAAAAAGAAGGACAAAGCTCTTAATATCAGGCATACAGATGTATAATAAATACACCAAGATTGCTCTAATGGGGATATTTGATGCAGGGGAAAGTTAAAGAAACTATGTCTCTACAATGAGTTTTTCAACCAGATAGCTGTATGAAAGTCCGTTGGTCTTTAAATACTAGTACTAGCAAAAAATATATTGCACCTGAATATAAGGCCAGGTGAATGTCGTCGTAAACACAGATATGTAATGCATTTTCAATATTTAATACATTTCTAATTTAGCATTTACTTTTTGGAAGAAAATTACTTTTTGCCTCAGTCATAGTATCAAATTTGATATTACAAACCTGGAAATTCGTAATGCAATGCATTATATCGTTTCTCAAACAGCATACAGCATATGCTGTGCTTGCTCAGTGTATCCTGGTGCTCCAAATGACTTGTTTAAAGAATTAAGGAGAACTTTATTTCTGCACCATCAAACGACAACATCTGACATGCTCAATACATCCATTCCCCTGTATGTGGGAACTTTCTTATTGGGATCTAGAAAGCTGATAATGAAAGTAGTGTAATAGGAGTGGAAAAGGCTATCATACTTGCCATTTTAGAATTTTAATATGTACCCTGCAGCAATTTTTCCTGAATAAAGGGGTAAATATAGGATTAAGGAGGGTTTATAGGTTAAGTTAATGATAACTATAAGAAAAACTTTGAAGAAGAATGTCACAAACAATGGATGACGGAAAGATGGATTAGGAAATCAATTTACCTTACTGGATGCAGAAAAATATAGCAAATGGGTGTTATAATGTTATGCTATATATATTATTCTTTTTTTTTTCATATTTTGTTTCTTTTCCATATCTGAATCTGGCTGCTATTCATTGAATTAGGAGACTTATACACTTGGGGCAGAGAGGAAGGGGATGGTAGATTAGGCCTTGGTCCTGGTCGGGGCCCAAATGAGGGAGGTGGACTTAGTATCCCTTCCAAAGTGAAAGAATTACCTACTCCTATTGCTGCAGTTTCCTGTGGCGGTTTCTACACAATGGCATTGACAGAGGAGGGACAGCTTTGGAACTGGGGTGGTAATGTGTCTCTTCCTGTCTCTATATTTTACATTTCTTTGTGTTGTTCTATGGGTATTTGATTTTTTTTATTCTAAAGAAGCTGTGAGCACCAAAAGGTAGATTACAAAGACAATCCATTTGGTCCATGAATACCATACTAAGATAAACATTAATCAAGAAGCAATATTGTAGCTTAAATAATATAGCATGACAGTAGAATATCTTCTGAAACTCCCTTAAACACGTTTCATTGTTTGGCAAACATACTACAGGCAACATGGTTAGCTTGTAACCAGCTCAGAGTTAGAATTATTATGGAGAATGAGGGGGAAAGTGTGATCAACCAATCATCGCATGATGAAATCTTACTGAACTGCGAACATGTATTGAGTCAGTTAAGGGGGGCTCAAGGGGTATGCTAACTGATGAAAGGGGGTAAAGAAGAAAAAGGGACAGATAATAGAAAGAAGAGAGAAGAAGTTAGGTGTCTGACAGTAATCAGCATAAAAGATGAGAGCTGAAAAGCAGGGCATAGGAGAGGAAAAGAAGATAAAAAAGCCAAAGAGAGGACCAAAAAAGAGAGAGGTCATCATCCTTAAGTTTATACTAAAGGTGGAAGAATGAAAGAGCTTAGTTTAGTTGGGTTCATCAAATTTTTACTTCCTTACCTTGCTTTTCATTTTCTCTTTTTACTTTGTAATGGAGATAACTTTATATTAATTTCCTGTTGGCTTGTTTTTATTTTTGAATGGTTTGACTAATCTCATTTTCACCAGTTCCATGACTAACTCCCTTCCTGGAATATTTTCCTTGCATGTCTTGCTCAGCAAATTCCAACTATGAGCTTGGAAGAGGTGATAAGGTTGGTGGTTGGAAACCTAAACCACTTCCTACCCTTGAAAGTACTCGTATCATTCAGATAGCAAGCGGTGGATATCATTCTCTTGCATTAACATGTAAAACCAGTACCATGAGTCCTTTTCTTTTTTAAAGGTCTTTTCCTTTTGTTATAATTCTATATTTATTGATTTATTCCTGCTTTATTATTTCAGATGAAGGTAAAGTACTTTCATGGGGCCATGGTGGACATGGTCAGTTGGGTCATTCTTCTATACAGAATCAGAAATTTCCTGTAATGATTGAAGCTTTGGCTGATAAGCATGTTGTCGATATTGCCTGTGGAGGTTCATCTTCAGCAGCTATAACTGGTAATACAAGTTATGCTTTTTTGGTAATATTGAATATTAGATATGCCATAATTTGAGTTTCAAGCTGGTAAACAACACAGATTTTTCAGTCCTATAACCATTTATCCATGGAAAAGCGTTCCATACATCATCTTTTCAGATTTACATAGGCATAGAGGTCATTACAGATATTATGTCAGCCTTTAAGTATCCCTTATCCAGTGTTGAATAGTCAAATATATTGCTATTTTTGTTCAGCATTTTAGACAAATGTCATAGAAGTGTTCTAGGGTCAAGAAATCATTCTTAATGTTATTTCATTGTAGCTTTTAACAACTTAAAGGAATCCAGCACACAATTTTGGATTATTTGGAAAGAGGTTTGATCAAACTTGATTTGGCTCTAGACTCTAGGGTATCTGCCTGCCTCATTGGTAATCATGACATCAGATACAAATCCGGACCTCAGCTTTTATTATTAAGTTGCTAGTCTGTGGATGAATGATAATTGTTGACTAGATACCAAAATCTTAAAACATAAGAATTTTTTAATATTAACATCTAACTGTAAATTCAAACTGAGGCTCTTGTGGTTTGGCAGGGATGATGGGTGTAACTAAAAACTGTGATGAACTTCCCATGATGATGTGTTTTCAATTAGTTTGTAGACAAGTCACCATCAATCCAACCCCTTACCCATTCCCTAGAAAAAGGTGGAGCAAAAATCTAACTGGATTGGTGGATGTAGGTCGGAGTTTCTATATCCATCTGAAAACTATTGCTAAGATTGGAGGGTCTGGTTCAAAGTTGCTACCTCTCTCTCTCTCTCTCTCTCTCTCTCTCTCTCTCACACACACACACACGCTTAGATCCACACACGGTAAAAATGATAAAACCTAGGTTTACTAAACGACCTTCACAACCAGCCACTGAGCTAAAGCTAAGGCGACACTCATAGTTGGATATTGGCTTTTCCCACTTTTCTATAAATCAAATAGGTACTTTTTACTGATTTCTTGGTTCTAAACAGATGAAGGAAAGTTGTACATGTGGGGGAATGCGAAAGATTCTCAACTGGGAGTTCCTGGGCTACCGGAGGTTCAACCAAGTCCTGTTGAAGTGAATTTTCTAATGGAGGATGATGGATTGGGACCCCACAATGTGCTATCTGTTGCAGTCGGTGCATGTCATGCCATGTGTTTAGTCTTGAGATCACACTGTTAAAGATGATCTGATGCAGGTAAGGCCTCTTCAGCTAAAAAACTTGAGGAATGAATCTTTTGCAAGAGAGCTGCTATATTGTTTTGGAGGGACAAAAAGAGTTCCAAGGTTGAGTACATTCCAAAATGTTTCTGAATGAGGTAATTAGGCAACAGCATTAAAGAAGGTGACATGGATCTGCAATTGCTAGAAGTTGCTGCCTCTGGCTGGCATGTTACATATTGAGTCATCCGATATTTGCCGCCTGGTGGCCAGTATAAACTGCTGTTGCACCGATTGGGTCTTTAGTTAAAACAAACTGGTGAGAGTAAAAGTTGCTTTCAGTATTTAAGCCGTTGTCACTATGAGCTTATGAGGTCTGCTCATCATTTCTGTTCAGTCTCATATGCATCTGTTGTGTCAGTAATATCCTTTATACGCTTTGTAACATCTCAATGACACGCAGGTGTATTTTAGCTTGCTGCTAATTTAATATCCCCTTACTTAACAAAATGACTTCTCATTTCATTCTTACAACTTAACTCCTGAATGCCAAATATATTTCATGCTTCATTTGATTCCATAGTAGCTAATCTAATTGATCCGTGAGGATAAATTATCCATAGAAGTTGAGCTTAGATTGGAGCCTGAGCTTCCCAAGAACTCCAATGTGAAAATTCTTTAGTCTAAGGAGTTAAATGAAGTCAAATTTAAGCTGCTAGCACTTGTTGTGAAGCTTGCAGGCTTTGCTGGAACACAGTTATAACTGCAGGAAGCCGAGTGTAAGCAAGCCAAATTGGACCAGTTAAGTGTCCCTTTTTTTCAACAAAGCAAGGCTACATCCGGAGAGTTCATACCTGACGGTCAATGCACCATTCATTAAATCATAATCCATATTCCTTTGAATCAATGCACCAACACTTTTCCAGAAGCCGTGGGCCTCTAGCAATATTAAAAGCGTTTTATTCTTTTTAAAGTTAAAAATATGCAAAGTTTTTGCATCAAAAGGATCATTTGCGGTGAAGGTGGTCCGTCCAACTGTCTTTCGGCGCTGTGAATCCTCTGACGTTAAAAATTGCAGGCTGCTTAACGTTCCATAACTTTTGCCTGTGCACTTGCTGGAATTTAGAAAACAACCCTAGCTTAGAATGTTGGCGACTTCAACATGATTGCATGAATAATCTAAACATTCTAAGTTCACAAGTTCCCAAACCATTAGAGGAATCAATGGGCTAATAATTAACGCAGACATCCAGAGCGGATCTTACTGGCATGTTATGTGGGCTTTGTTTATTTTTTGGATTACAAGAGAGTAATCTAGCTCAACCTTGAATCTCATTCCATTCAGCTAATCCCAACGCTTTGTCACTGGAGCTCATTACATCCAGCTTTTCAATTCGTTTTCAAAAGTTAAAAAAGGGAAAGAAATCAAGGTTTAACCAAACTATATTAAAAAAAAAAAGGTGCATAGTAACCTGCTCTGTTTCAATTAAGGGTAATTTGATACCAGAAGAAATGAAGGATCTCAAAATTTTCGAAAGGTTTTATTGCTGATATTCTTTGGTACATTTAGAGTTGTAGACAAACACCTTTTTGTGTGTAGCCTATTATCTAGTTATGAAGAAAATGTAGCGACAGGATTCAAAGGTGATCATCTTTCAAAGAGTCTCGATCTGAATTAAAATCAGGAGTCGCTATCACAATATTTCCTGGCAGTAAATCGTCAGACCAAAAAACTATGGGACTCTCAAGGTTCTCAATATTTAGCTTGTTCCACCGTTTTTCCATATGTGCAGTTTCTGATGCTGGTATGGAGTGCAATTCCTCCAGAGATGGAACATTCACTTGGGAAACAAAATCTAGATTTTCCATGCTTCCCATGTTCCCATACTTCGGAATACCAAAATATTTGTAGCATTGAGAGTTAGTATTTTCCTCAGAAAGTGTTTGTGCAGCTGCTTTCTCCAGTATTGTCTGCATATATTTTCCTCGAGTATCGATCCTCATTTGAAGGTGTTTCTGAACCTGGTGCAGCGCAAACAGAATAAGGATTACCAAAATATGAACATGCGTGGTTTGGCTGAAAAGTTTTCTCCTCTGTTTCTTTCTTACCTCAAGCTCTTCATTCAATATGCCTCCTACTTCCATTTGCAATCCAACTCCTCCTGTTTGTTGCACGCTCCTGAAAGTTGATTTCAAGTTACATATATGCAACAGGCCAGAGAAATAAACTTCATTATAGAGTTTTAATTCTTTGATCAAAAGAAGGATTTAAATTTCACATACTGATCACTTAAACAGCAAGCTCTTATACCAGTAGCATTTTTGGAGAAGTCAAACTCTGAAACTGCCAAATAATATATAGGTCAAAAGTTGTAAGGCACTGATATTTTTCTATCAATAATATGAAGAATAGAAATTAAATTGGAAGCATAGGAAGGTAATTCACCTTTCCTACTGTCGCTAACTGACTGATCATTGAAATCTTTTTGTGGTTGTCTCCCAAGCCTGAATTTCTATACATAGTTGAAGAACCAAAATCAGAAAACAGAAGAAATGACCGAGTAGCACACAAAGATAGAAGAATGATGGCAAAGAACACCTGGAGATGGCTCTTAAGATGGTAAAGTGTGAGACCTTTAACTCCCATGGCTTTCAAGATGGTCTTTGGTGTGGCCTCTACATTTCAAAGAGAAATAAAACAAAAGATTAGCTACAACATAAACAAGGGGAGGAATCACCAGAAACAAGAACAAGAATTAACATCAAGCAAGATTGATTGGGAAGTAATATGAATGGGGAGTACTGTCTGGTCCTCCAAGCTGGGTAACAGCCTCTACAAATCGTTCATGCAACTCAACAGTCCACCGGAGACGAGGCTTTGGATCTGTTGTGAGGACAAGTCCTGAGTCCCCTTGAACAGAAAGTCGATCATAAGTGGTAAATGCTGGCTTCTTGGAATGGAACATTCTTTTCTTTATTTTCTTGGGCTGTTGAGATTTTCATGGCAAAAAATGTTCACTATATATAGTGGAAACTGAGGTGTGAAATGAGGTCTGGTTTCTTGTAAAGTCTAAAGAGTGAATGGTCATTCTCTAAATCCTTGGAGAATAAAAGCCAAATAAGAAAAGAACCAAAGCCACCGACTATTCAAACCATCTTTATGAAAAGAGTGTGTCCTTTATGTACATTATTAACTTGTTATATCCACTTTAACCATGACCATTACAATGCTGCCAATTAGAAGTTTAATTTGATCCACTGTTAGGGAGACCTTTTCTACCTTGCATTTCAGAAGTGAAGTGACAATCATTGCAATATTCCGTTTTGTTAATTCTAAAGACAAATTATGGTACTTCAGTCTTATGTTCCATACAACTTTTTCTTTCTTGCTTTCTGAATTAAAAAATAGTATAATCCTAAACCACAATTTCCCAGCATTGAACCAATAGAATATGTCGTCAGGTATCACTTGAAAAACTTTTAACATGCTTCATAAGATTGAATAGAAATTAAGAAAGTGCTATTTCATCGGTAATTGAATTAAGATGTAATATCTAAAAATATTTAAATAAACTCTTATTCTTTTATTATTTAATCAAGTCTTTATATTTTTATTTTTGAGTCAAATAAATTTTTATAATTAATAGTTAGTTAACGATTATTAGTTTAAATATTATTTATTATTTTATGTCACATAGCATAAAAATGACATGCTAACATGTCATAATTGATGATGACATAATGTAATGATATGACCATGTGATATTTTTTATCTTTTATATCAACGTTACATGAAACAAAAATGATAAGTAATATTTTGACTAATTACAATTAATTAACCATTAGTTATAAAAGATTATTAATATAAAATAAAAATCTAGGGATTTGATTGAATATAATAGAAAAATAAAAATTTATTTGATTTTTTTTAATAATCCAAAAATTTTTTCAAACATTATGTCTTGAATTAAATATGTCAAATGGTTGTATCCAAGCATTTGACGTAATATAATAAGTGCACATATTCTTTTAATTTTATGAAGTTATTTTGGTAATTAACATTTTATTATAGTAAATTAGTCTAGAATCTTTTGGGTGTCTATAAATATATATCTTATATTTAGGACTGAGAGAGAATTGTTTTGAGAGTTGAGAGATATCTTAAGAAAGTGGGAGAGAAGGTTCTTGAGTATAATGGGTCTAGGGCATGAGAGATAGTGAGAGAGATCGAAAACGATTAGTGATCCAGCTGATGAAAGTTGTGGAATATTTTTACAAGAAAAATATTTGCGTCTGGTCTTTCACTTCTACTTACTTATCGGTTGTGTATTTATTATAACAAGTGATATCAAAGTCAAGTCAATGGCAAATATGAGTGGATTTGGGACTGTCAAGTTTGAGATTGAGCCTTTTGCTGAAAGAAAAAACTATAACTTTAAGATGTTTCAGAGTATTGTGATTGATGCGTTAGTCCAATAAGGACTAGGAGATGCTTTTTAAAGAAAGAAATTCAATGAAAAATGTCAAGAAAATGTAATTAAGACTAAATGCTTTTGTTTTGTGGCGATTAGAAAATAAAGTATCTATAGAAGAGCATTTGACTAAATATGTACAGAGATCTAATAAAAAGAAAATATTAATCTAATATTTCACTCCAGTTGGAGTAGGAAGATTCTGAATGCGTGCATAACAAATGAAAATCAAGAGGTTTTGCTAATAAATCCATAAGTTGGTTTGTGTTAGAAATGGAACAGGAAAGAATGATGTCAACTTGGAGTTTCTCATGAACTAGATGGCAATTAACTTCAATGTGTTAAGTGTGCTCATAGTAGACAAAATTAATTGCAATATGCAAAGGCTACTGATTATCACAAAACAAATGGACTAACCGCAAGAAGATACTTAAAAACACTAGCTTGATATGTTGATCAAATTTGTGTTTAACTAATCTTTGTATGTTGTCCATAACATAACCAATCAAAATTACTAAGCTCAGAGTACGATAAGAGTTTTTTGGAATAAAATCTCATGTGAGAATTTACCATGTAAAACTTTGGTGGAAATACAATTAATTAAATAAGTAGCAGCAAGAACACACCACTCCTACAATTAGCTTAAGTGGAGTGAATCTAATTTGAGTCAAGGTAAAGAGCGTTGGATTTTTTTTAACTCAAATTTACTTTGATAATGTTGCTTTGGCAATTATCTTCTTCTTTGGTAAATTAGTTTGAAGATTTTTTGGGTACGTAGAAATATATTTATATTTGTACTTAAGGTTGAGATCAGAGTATTGTTTGTTTCAAGAGTTGAAAGACGTTTTTAGAACGTTGTTGGATGATGAGCAGGAGGAATTGAAAGAGATTAACTATCGCAATCTTGAAAGTTTGTTAATGAAAATTAGCATATCTTTTCACAAGAAAAATATGTGTATTTTTTCTGTTTGAGTTTTCGCTTTCACCTGGGATTTTCCTGACAAGTTTCTGCTCAAAAAGTTGGTTCGCATCTCACTATCTCCAAATAACACAGTTATCAGCCATGAAGACATGCTCGAAAACACACGAGTCCACTAGTCTCCTCTCTGGCCAGAGAATAAAAAACACACAAAGAAACAACTACACAAGTTGTTCTTCATTTTCTATTACCATAACTATGAGTTGCTTTCGCTTTGAGCGGTCGTACGCAATCACATACACCAACTTGTAATGATTTGCGTGTTAAACCCTTTTCTATTCATGCTTGTCGTCAGTATGTCTGGTCATTACCACAGAAATTTGAGCAAAATAATGCTCTGCTCTCGGAAACTTAATTGATTATATTTCTTGTAAAATAAATTTGTATGAGAACTCATGGTGCGTGATCGCCTTCCATCCGAGGTCATAAGATCAAACTAATTTGTTAGAAGAAAATTTAAAAATAAAAAGAATTAAGATATAATATTAATTAAACATTCTATATTAATAGAACCCTGTTTTAATTTGATAGACTCAAGAGTTGGTGGAAAAATAATAAGAGTAGGAAAATATCGTTGTAAACTCAATTGAATCTCACCATTTTATATCTTTTTATACTATTATTATTTGGTTAATCCAATCGTTGTATTTCATGCTCTATTTTTGTAGGTCATGCATGTCAAATATTAAGTTAATTAAAAATTTTAATTATTTAAAAGATACAACAAAACTTTTTATCATTAAATATGTTTTGAAAAAAAAAACAATATTCTCAATTAATACAATAAAAAATATCGAATTAATTTGAAATTCTACATGCATAACGAATAAGAAGAAATTGTTAAATTTAACAATAAGTTTATTAAAATATTAATTGTATATAAAATTATGTGTAACATCATCACTCCTCAAAAATTAATTAATATTGAAATACATACAAAACGCTGTGGGGCTAAGGATGGCGAGGACCTGTCCTTTTGTCGAAAAGCTAATGGGCGATGATGAGCCTAAAGAAATTAAAAGAGACGAAGCTACAACTGTTTCTTCGCTCGGCATATTACCATCCATCCAAATCACAATAAACAAAGCATTGAGAAGGTCAAGCTCGATGTCTTCAATCTCTGTCGGGTGAAGGGTCCTATATAATTATATCATGTTTCTTTACAGTAAAAACCAATGGCATTTTCTCTTTGTCTGCCTCAATTTTTCATTTTTTTTCTTATGAGATTACATATATATATATATATATATATATATATTCCGTTTAAATATTCTAATATAGATTTTCATAAACTAAATTATATATATTTTTATTAAGTATTTTGGTATATCTCAGTTTTATCAATTTTAAATTTTAAACATGATTTAAACTAACCTTAAAAATCAACAATGAGAATGAACATTTTTAAAGCCGCCTGAACTCAAAATGACTCATACTTAAAACAGTTAGAAACATTTAAATCAATTTAGACTCTAATTGTAAATAATCCAACTTGAAACAATCTAAAACTCAAACAACCTAATGTTACAACCAAAAATGAAATCTAAAATAACCTTATATTGAGAATAATTTTTGTATATTTTTCTAAAATTTTACATGAGCCTTAATTTCAATTTAGATATATAATAAACAGATATATAATATTATATTATATTGAAATTTCATCTTTTGAGGAATAGGAAATCACGGTGCTGAAAAGATTCTCTGTTGCTTCATGTTTTAGGTGGAAAATACAAAATTCTCTATGACTTCAGCTTTTAAGGTAGATATAACTTAATCCTAATGGTTTTATAAACTCATTTGACCTTATTAAATGTTTTTAATTATTAAGATTGTTTGTTGATAATGTTCAATTTTGCAATTTTTAATTCAATCTATCTAATTAATGTGTAATTGTTAAAATTATGCAAAAATAAATTGAGCAATTAAGTTTTATAAGTTATTCTTGATAAATGTTAAAATATTAATTAATATTAAATCCACTACAGACAAAATAACAATAAAAATATGATCTTTTGAAGGATTGAAAATCTTTTTATAGTTAATAAAAGGTTAGAGTTATAATGATATTAAAGTGCTTGAATTACCAAATTTTATAGTGTGGTAATTTACGTGAAACCCCCATATTTTTCATTGTTTTTCTAATTAACCCAAGAAATTTGGCAAATTGAAAATTTTTAATAAGCATTTAATTCTATCAATTTAATAGTTTTATATTTGAAATTTTAATGCTTATTAATATTTTGATATTAAGTCATCTTCGAAACTCTTCAGTGATTCTATTTAATAAGAAATTATGATTTTTACATGATAAGAAAAAAATAAACTTGGTTATAAAGGGTTTCAATTTTTCACTTTTGAGTCGACATTTTTATGTGTAGAGATTACAAAGTTTTCTTGCATGTTTAGAAGAAGTACAACAAATAAATCATGCACTTGTGTTGCTTGACAGACAATGATCGGTAGTGAGAGAAAAGTTTAATTCGTTTGTAAAAATCAGACATTCCAACCAAAAAGGTCCCTCAAAGATTAATTGTATATGAAATTTGTGTTTCACATAAA